GAGACTCTGAGAGGCTGATAAATGGAAGTAGTACAAAAATGTAGTCCTCGGCCTCAACTGAAAGGAAAAAAAGGCTTAAAGTCAGCCGCCAGACCCCCAAGGCTAACTCAGAACTAAGACCCATGTTTCATTTAGCCAAGGAAACTATCTTGACGAGTTAGTACTGAGCCCTGCCACACTAAAAATCCTCAGCATCTCAGCCCTGCTACAGGTCTGCACTGTGTTGAGATTTTGTATTGTTACACTAAATTTTCTGAGTAAAATGTTCTTGTAGCTGTTGAATTCTTCCAGAAGGCAAACATCTCCTGTCGGAGTGAACAGAGCTCTGTGATTTGAAGTGGTTGCACGGTTGGCCATGTTTTTCAGACTGGAAAAAAAAAGCCTTAATTCACTCAGATTATTCAATAGTCAAAGTCTATCTTTGTGAAACTGGCCCCAGGTCAGCCATATTCAGTACCATAGTAACAGACAAGAATTTACCATTTTGGTCAAAGAAAAGACCAGAAACACATGCAGTGTATAAATCTATGACCTTCTACTTAACCAGCAGGCTCCCTTGTCTATATTATTAACTTTAAGACATAAATTCACCCAAATTTATCTGGTTTTGTTACTGACTAAAAATATCAAGCAGAAGTGTTACAGCTGCCACACATCGGTCTCACATCGTCATGCTACAGTGGCAACCAATAAAGTGTCAGGGGGCTTAAGATCCTTGTTGAAACGGCCTCTACGAATGCTATAAACTCTGACAATCTCCTCAGAAACTTGCAACTCCCCGGAGAACTTTTACACTTAGCAAAGCTGCGGTGACAGATTGGATAGGAGCGGATTGAAGGACTGGTTGGTTTCCACAATATCTCCCCTCTTCCTGAGAAGCAGAGAATGTGCTATATAATACATGCTGGACTGTCTCTTGTGCTCTCTGTCAATCATTACACAATGATATATTCTATCCTACTGCGTAGTCATCTCCCACTTGACGTCCCTAAAAAAAGTGTCCTTGCCCTGGATATAAGCCCCATGATACGGTGCTACAGACAGAAAGGTCACACAGCTTGATGAAAGTGGGACAGTGGTGCTAAAAGTATCCCTAATAGACCAGCATGACACTGCAATGAGGAGAAATATGAGTTAACTGGCATTTGCAGTCATGCTGTTGAAGACAGTTACTTAAAAATATCTTACAGGCGCAACATCCAAAAGTAAAATCTCTCCCTGGATAATTACGCTTATACTTATAAAAGAAACATCTTTTCCTCTCTTGACCCTGGTTGATTTCTTATTTCACTGCAGCAATTCCTCCATTGTACTTTCCCTGAACTGTCACTGCATCCAGTTTTCTCTTTGAGACCCTTGTAACCCTGGGCCTCTGGGTGTAATCAGAAGAGAAGAACCATGATGGGCTGGTAGAAGAAAGCCTCCTATCTAGATTGGAAGAAGAAAATTAGGAAGGAGACTGAGAGACTGAGGGGACAGAATATGATACTGGGGAAATGTGCACTCATGAGAGACAAAGAGAGGGCTAATGAGGGGTGGTGGCACTGGTGCCGGGCAGGCTAGTTGCAAGAGAACTCAACATTATGAGGCCTAGAAGGAAGGGAGAGTGGTGGAAGTAGGTGGAGGAGGGTGGAAGTAGTTGGAGGAGGGTAGCGTCTACCAGGCTTTTTCTTTTCTTTTCTATCCAGATGGTATTCTCATTGAAGAAATTATAAAGCAAAATGAGAATCAGAAGCAGACTGGCAGGGTGTGGTTGTCCCATCAGACATACAATGCATACTTGTTTGGTTTTACCTCAAACGACACATAAGTATTTAATCATTAAAAGAGATTAAATTCTTCCATTTCAGTTTCTAAAAAATTAAATTAAGTTACTTTCAAGTCACCTCAATCTTATGACAGCTGCTAAAGCAAGTACAGTACTGCTTTCGAAGGCCAATAGTCCCTTATGGAGCTCAGTTGTTCTGTACTAGTGCAGAAAAAAGCCATCAGGAGTAAAATGATATGATGACCGGAAAACATACTGCAGATTACATTATAGCTCTTATGTAGCAATTCCCTAAAATGCTGAAATTGCAAATTTTCTCTCTGCAATTCCATATTGGTCTAGATAACAGAAAAACTGGAAGCTGATGCCTCCGAGCTGTGCTTAAGTTTGTGGTTCGGTTAATTGCGGTCGCAGTGTGCAGCATTACAAAGAGAGCCGAACACATTCGGCACTCAAGCTCGACTAAAAGCCAAGTGATGCAGCACGGTGGCTTTGAAGTGTAATGGGACTGGGGAGCAGCAGAGCTGGAGATCAGGACACGGTTCTGTGGGTAGATGGTTTGTGGACCGATTCCCAAATGTATGGAAGTTAGGAACACAACTGGGCACGCAAGATGGGAGAACCCTTTCAAACCCTAAACAACTAATTATCCACCTGCTCTCTACAGCTGAGAGCAATTTCATCAATGCAGGGGAAGTCTTATTTAAAAGTCAATCAGCAAGTCACAAGGGAGGAGTGTGACTGTGGAAGGGTGCCCATCTGTCCATCTGTCTGTTCAACTCCCTAGGTTATCCTAAACCCCTTTTACACTAAACCAACAACCTGTGTCTGCCTTTTCTACCAGCTCTCACACTCTCAGGTGTATGATCTTATTCGCTCCAAGGACGGAGTTGTACAGTGTTTGGGATCAAAACACACTATACGCTATGGCTGAAACTATTAGTCGATTAATTAATTAGTTGATCGACAGAAAATTACTTTATTTTTATTACAAGTATTTTGATGATCGATTATTCATTCAAGTTGTATATTATATTATTATAAATTAGTATTATAAAGCAAATATAAAAAAAACATCTGCTGCTTCCATCTTCTACAGTGTTTTCTCTGTTTTATATCATCGTATATTAAACTATTTTGGGGCATAAAAAAAGACATTTGAAGATGTCATTAACTGCGATGGGTATTTTTTCATTATTTTCTGAGATTTTATAGAAAAAACAGCTAATCAATCAATAAAAGTGTCAGGTACAGCCCTGCTTCTAACCATCTAACCAGCATTAAGCCGGTTTCAGCTTGTTGTTTCGGTTTGTAGGTTAATAAAAAACTGTGGGCAGCTGCTCCCCCAGCACAGGAGCTCACATAAACCAGTGAAATTATAGAGCGCTGCAGTAAACACATGGCTTATGAGTAGAGATGAATACCTCACGAGCAATAAACACAGATAGTTTTCTCAATAGTTGGTGAACCAAACCAGGAATAAAACAGCAGTGAATCGGGATGAATGAATTGGATATGTGGTGAGAGAAAGAACTCCAGCGATGCCCACACTGCTCAGTGTCTGCTGGATGTGTAAGAAGCCAATTGTTTGCTCACACACTCAAACATAGCTTGATAAGGGATAATATAGTATCAAGGCAGCTTTAGGGATTGGTTGATCAAACACCAGATCATCCGCTTCCAACCACCCAACATGTTGAATCTTCGCTGTAAAAACAAGACAAAAGCAACTCCTTTAACAATAAAAAAATTACAAAAACAACAAGTGATCTGCTCGATCAGCCTTGTATTTGACCAGTAATACAATAATGCCCTTTCTTCAGGATAAGTAATTTAACATTACTAAACATTCCCTGGGGGAATTTGTGACTTGGTGCTCTTCTCTGTGCAACCCTAACCCTAAATCCCACACAACAACATGTGACTGTCCTCATCAAACTGATACAATTCATGTCTGCAGCTAACAGTATCTAAGACCAAGAAGATGAATGTTTGTCTCCTGGCAGCACACATCCACAGGGAGGTGGTCCAGCAATAGAAATACCTCAGCAATGTCTTTGGTAATAGAGTTCATCCGTCTGTACCCTAAAAATAAGAGAAACAATGCACCTGAGGAGAGGCTGAGAGGGACACTGAAGAGACAGAAGTTAGATGAGCACTGTAGCATCCATCAATGCTTTGAGATGTGAATTGGTCTTGGAAGACGTTCAGTAAATGTGAGGAAAAACTGCAAACAAATGAAAAATGTATGTTGATTTTGAGCCATTAAAGCAAACAATTAATTAGGATGTCTCAAGAGTTACTTATTAGCAGATATTTGTTTTATCTGCAGCTTCCCTGCTCATCAGACACCAAATATCAAGCCAAAGCATAACGTGGGTCTAAGCTACTGATGGAATTAATATTGATATCATATAATCGCTTTAATTTGCTCAGATACAGCTCATTGGAAGGGTTGGGGTCTAATTTGTTTAGCAAAACATAGAGCAGTCATTCACATAACAAATTAGATGATTATTCATATAAGAGAGAATAATTAGCTCCATATTGTCACAATTATTATGTAGTACTAAATAAACTACTAAAAACTACTAAAAATCCCAGCTCACGCCCTTTCTAAATACCCTGTCATTCAAACTGGTCTGTTCAGCAGGATCTGCTTCTCTATCTCCATTTAAACAACCCTATTTTGGAGTCATTGTTTAAACTTGGCATCAGATGACATATTGAATTATTCTTGTAGAGGCATGACTGAGAAAAGGAAATAGCCAATAACGTGCTATAGCCTGGTTTTGTCAGTGTGCTGGAAGTGAGCCCTGTTTGCCATCCATGAGTGCAGGGTATATACTCTGTCAGCATGCTGTGGAGGAGGTCGATATTCCGCCAAGGCAAATACATTTACATTTATTTATTGCAAGCCATTACAGGGATCCCTGATTCCTGCTTTGGAGAACAGGCTCCAATTAGATTTTCCATCACATCCAGCCTGCAACGCCAAGCTTACAGCCGCGCATTGGACTGCTGCGAGATGTTAAAATTCAGATCAAGTATAGAGAGGACAGCATTAGCCTCCAAAAGTAGGGTAAACTGCCCTTTATAACAGAGGGGGTATGGGAGGAAATCCCACCAGTATATGCCAAGCTGAGGAATCTAGTGGAAAAACTTGCCACCCCCCATGTCCAAAAGTGGTAATAAGTAACAAAACTTCTGGTAGAAAAGGTAGAAAACTTACCACCCCCGTGTCCAGCTGCTCGGTAGTCAGAGAGGGAGCCGCTCCAGTCAGAGGTAAAAACCACAATATCAGCATCAACAGCAGCATCTCCGGAGAAATATTCCTCATCCACTTGTGAGCAACCAGAGACATCATGGTGCCCTATGACAGGCTGGTCCTGCAGGGCTCAGACACCGACCCCGACAGCCGCATTCACGGGATAAGTCACACGCCGACGCTCCTGTAAAATGTGCCCGCATAAGTCTACCTCACTGTTGAGCGCAAACACATAAAACACATTAAAAAAAAACCAGCGGCGGCGAGGGACGGGTGGGATTTACAAGTTTGTTTTCCACGAGAACGGCACTTGCAACTATTACCTACGGGGTCATAATCAGAAGACAAAATCGTGTGTGCATTCTTGTCCTACATCAAGTCCATCAGAGGTGATATTCCTGCAGCGAAGAGGCGCGAGCTCCCCTCCTGATCGTGCGGTCTCGAGCGCTGGAGAACGAAAGCAGCTGCGTGCGGTTTTTGTCCCGAGCAGCGGCAGAGACCGCTCGTTGACGCACACGCAGCGTGAGTGAGTGAGTATTTGGCCCGAAGGATCCAGGGGAGAGGAGGGAGGGTGGGAGGGAAGAAAGGAGGGGAGTTCAGCGCCTTTTTAGCCCACTTGGATACTACTGAATTCATGACGCGCGTCGTGCGTAATTTGAGATTCTCAGGGGTTGAGAGCAAATACACAAAACATAATTTGTCTGTGTTATGTCGGAGATGTGTCAGTGTTAAGAGGGTTTGACAACCTTTATCCTAACATATAGCCTAACACAAACAGGAGTTATAAGAAATGAGCTTTTATGACTGTTGCTTATGCTCTTGTGGCAGGCTAGTTGTGTGTTTGTTTTTGTGTGTACCAGAATCTGGCTAGTCTGACGCTGATCATCATCACCTCCACTTATCAAGTCTTTTGGCACCAGTGAGGGCAAAAGATGGGAGTCAACTAGCATAGCCTGATTACAGCCTTTGGGTGCCCCAGGGCTAAAAATGAGACGTGGGCCCCCTTTTGACACCTTCATGTAAAAAAAAATCAATCTAAAAAATCCACCATGTGAGCAAATCAAACCCTGATTCTTACTTTGGACGGCAACCCACGGCTCATTCTAAGGTTACGAACACAACACACAATACTAATATTCAGGTGATTATACACTAATAAAAACATACCTATGAATATTATATTCCATTTCTAGATCCTCCTAAATGTTACACACTGGACATTTAAAAGACCTTGTTATCCCAAATGTATTAAATTGCCTCTAACCATACGTGGATCCAGAGTCCTGCGATAGTTGCCTGCTTTAACTGGTTGCCCTGTTTAAGCTTCACAAAGTGTTTTCCATGTTGTAATTGTCCCATATTATTCATTGTAAATTACCTACACAGCAGCAAACTGCAGCATTAATGCAAATGCAATATCAACGGGGACAATCTAAAACCAGAGTCACGTAAAAGGTAAATGAAATCAATTTAATGAATCCATCTTGAGCCGCAACTTGCCCATATCGAGAGACATACGGTAAACATTCTTTCTCATGTGTCTTAGTAATTGTCTAGTAATTTGTTTTATTTTGTATCTTTGACAATTCATGTAAAAGGACAGTACAGTACATACGCAGTTACAAGAACATCAAGGCTATCACAAGAAAGTCCCATGTCTGATTTCCATTGTGGTCCTCCTTGTAGTTAATAAGGTTTATATTTGCCCTTGTCCAAGCTGAGACAGGGTTTTGAAAGGAAAGGCTAGAAATGACAGTGGGAATGCAATGGCAAGGGATGAAGAAAGAGAGAGTAAGTCATTTTTTGGTCTTGAAACTCTGAATGCAGCCTCCAGTCAACTGATTGTCTTTTGTTGCTTCGTCACTGCATCACCAGAGAGAAATCTCCAACTAGATCTCTACAAAAGGTCATTCAATTATTTTCCATCCAAACCTCAGTTAATCAGTATCATATATGCATTCTCTTTCATCTATGTGCCCTTTACGGACATGTAAAGATGTCAATCAAATCCATTTTTTTAGAAAGCAGGGACAAATACGGCTACAACTACTACTATTACTGATACTACAGTAATAATACACAATTAAAATTTGAGCAGCATTCAAAGAGTTAAATTGCACCCAATTAAATATACATATCAGCAGAAGCTAGATCACTGAAGTAGAGAAAACTGCATATGTCTCTGAAATGCAAAGATGTTTTATTTTGTACCCCTCATTACACTTCTATTTTCACCATATTTGAGAAAACATCAGAGGAAAGCACAAAACAATTTGCTGAGCTGCTGAGATAATTATGACATGAAACAGTATCATCCCACTGCTTTCTTCTTCTGAGAAAAGATTAATGTACTTATTTATTTCTTTTGTGTTGCATAATATTAAAATCCACCAGGTAATGAAGGAACATACTGTAATGAATAACAATAACTAAGAGCTACATGCCCCTGTAGCATATTAACCATTTAATAGGCCAACAGATCAGTTGATGTTCCAGTAAATGAAAGTCAGAATAAAAATCTGAACTGGATGACTGTTGCTTGTTTGAATTCATCATACACACATGCACAAATGCACTTCCATTTCTTATTGAGATCCATTACAGCAGTCGTTCATCACTGGTCCAGAGGAGAGAGACGTGAAAAATATGGGTTTTTTTGCTCAGCAGCATTAAGCTCTGCTGTCTTAGTGCTGAAGGCTTAAAACTTCTCAACTTTACTGCTTCCAGTCCCAGTAAGACTTGTCGTATAGCCGCAACATTATGATAATTGTAGCATCTGAATGTTGTGTCTCCCAGCATGTCTGCTGGCAGAGAAGCAGCTTCAGTCATTCAGTTTTATATTAACAGAAGGTTAAAACATCCATTTACTCATCTCAGTCTGCTCTGCACATTTCACCTGAAGTGTTGCACCATCTTCACACTATTTCCCAGAGAAATTTAGCTCATTTTCTTCAGTCTGATCATAATTATAGGAAAACCCATTGCCCAGTGCAATGGACGTGGACTGAATTGAGTTTGTTGGCTGTTATAGTGTTACACATGCATTTTAATATTTGTTGAAACATTTTGTGCCAAGTTGGCTGCAGACTTCATGAACTGCTGAGGTTAAAAACAAAAGATAGATGAATATTGTCAAATATCTGGCTTTGCCATTGCATAATGTCATAGTATTATGAGGAGTGACATGAATGTTTTTGTGTGGCTTAGTGGGCTGTTGTTTGACATAGAGACATGTTTTATCATGGTTAACAACAACACGACATTAATTGAATCTCTTTGCTTTATTCTCTTAGATTATTCTGTGTGTTCATGCTGATTGACGGAAAGACTAAAACACTTACGGTTGTTGCTGCTTTTTAGATTCCACCACCAGACTTATTTCCTGGGTGTATGTATATAAATAACTGTATATATTGACTTATTTTATTTGTATTTTTTATGTTATTATATACATTTGTTTATCCTTTTCTGTGTAGCATAGAGGATCTTCAAAATTTAATTTCATTATACAACCTTGTGTTGTTTAATGATAAATATATTTTCTTGATTACATGAACCCTTGAATATGAATAGACTGTAAAGTGAAATAGGAGCATATAGACAGATAAAGCTCCTTATTGTATGTACTCTGCACTTTGATAATGGGAGCTAGATTAATGTGGAAAGCTATTACAATCAAAAGACATTCCCATCATCTACATGAGTACAGAAAATACTCTCTTGGGTCTCATGGTTTTTGTATGACCATTACCTAACCATTTATGCATTAACTTGCAAGGCCAAATCAACATTATGCTAAACTGATGTATATTTTTATCTATAATACATTATCATAAGTAAGAATTATCATGGCATAGCATCTCTCTATGTAACTATAATCCACCTAATTATGTTGGAAATCATGTTTGACCAATCAGATAATTTGGCAGAGAGACTCTGGCATCTGTCTACATTCCCTTCCATATGCTCTCCATTTTGTGAAATGAAATAAAAATCCAGAGTAAAGGTTTTTAATTGGGATGCACCGATCCACATTTTTTCACTTCCGATCCGATCCCTGAATTTGGATATCGGTCGATACCGATACTATTCCGATACCAGAGCTGTGTTTGCTTTAATATTATTATTATCATTATTATTGATTTTATATGAGGCTGAAATAAACTCCTCTCACAGGCAAGTATGATATGTACGTCATGTATGTCCCAAAAGGCAACTTGAGGCAAGTATAAGGTCAAGAAAAGGAAGTCAGAAAAACAGGAAATCCTATTAACAGGAAAAATGTCAAATATTTGAGTCTTGAAATATAAGAAAAGTGTAATAACTGTAAAGATCACACACACACACACACACACACACACACACACACACACACACACTCGGTAATCCCTTTAGCTTTCACGTTGTCTGTCTGGAGTTTACCTTGTTTTTGGAATGACTCCAGAAGTGATTCCTGACAGCTCGCCTAAAAAATCCTTGTGCTGTTTCGTGTGGTGCTTTTTTTAAATGTTTGATTGCGTTCGTAGTGTTGTACGACGCGAGGGAGCTTCCGCGTCTCTGAATTACAGCTTTGCAAACATTGCATTTTGCTGTCTTGCTCTGCGGTGTTTCCTGTGTAAAGTATTTCCACACAGCGGACATGTTGGCTAGCCACAATGCTGCTCAATGCTATCCTGCTAGCTGGCTGCAAACTGCGGAATGTATTTCCTGAGCGAGGGCGTGTCTCATAACTCTGTGTCTCATTGAGCTGCGCCTCCGTTCAGAAAAGCCATTCCACAGTTTGCAGCCAGTTAGCAGAGTGACCTGTGGAGTCATTTCAGCAGACAATGTTAAAGCGCAGACATGGCTCATGGATATCGGAAATCTGCGCAGGTTGGATCGGGACATTGCGTTACATGAATTATGCTGGTATCGGTCCCGATGCCGATACTCGATACTCCCTAGTTTTTAATTTTTAATTTTTTGCAAAGGGAAGTGTTAAAGGGGCACTCCTAAACTATTTAGAGTCCCAGAGCCAATACCAATTCTTATTCATTGAAATCTTAAATTCATCTAAACACTTACACACATCCCTTTGTCATATCTGAGCAGGTTCTGCTGCTCTATTCATGTCCAGTCTGGTGCAGCAGTGACAAATTAAAGCCATTGTCCCTTTTCTGACTCTGACTGAATTCTGTTTGAGTTTTACCTGTCACAGAGATAAACACACTGCCATGCATGAATTGTATACAAACCTAAATTGGTTAAATGCAAATACTCACCCCTGGGAAGTCTGAATGTAGTAAACCATATTCAGCCTGTCTCATGAGCTTTACCGTAAATAATGTTTCCAATAACATTTATTTAGTTTGGATGACTTGTCAATATCACTCTGGACAGTAAAATCAATGGCGTTGTAATTAATCAGTCTCACACATATGTGCGTGTCACTGCCTCCATGCACCCTATCCACTTCCACAACTCTCTCTCCTTCCTTCTTGCTCTCAAAGTCTCTCTCGCCCAATCTTCCTGTCACAGACTCGCAGACTTTGATGTAC